GAGACAGGGGGCACAAGCACACTCAGAGAGAGACAGGAGGCACACGCACACTCAGAGAGAGACAGGGGGCACAAGCACACTCAGAGAGAGACAGGGGGCACACGCCCATTCAAAGAGAAAGGAGGCACACGTACACACTGAAAGAGAGCCAGGAGGCAGTAGTATTGAAACAGAGCCAGAGTTTATGAATTCTGCTCAGCATGTAAAAACACAGGGATTTGGAATGATGTGGCCAGGAGACAGCAGTCCCAGCTCTCTAGCTACAGTGACATGGTCTGATCCACAGTCAGTACATCATCAGAGGAATAAACCACAGTCTCTACATGGTCTCTCGTTTTTGCTAATTAGAGAAAAGATCAGAGTAGAACAGAGGAGAGTCACAGGGAGAGACAGGTAGGAAGAGCAAGAGAGAGAGACAGGCAATCACAGGCAGGGTTAGATATAATACAGATAAGATTAACATAACTCGATTAAGATAAACAGCTAAAAAGAGCGATACACAGAAAGCTCGATCCAGATAGATTTTTAGTAGGACATTAACAAATAACGCGATCGAAACAGAATCAGCAGGACAGAGGGAGAGTAAAAGACAGAGACAGGAAGAGGGAGAGAGAGAGAGATACAGAGGCGGAGAGAGACAGAGAATAAGAGAGATTGAGAGAGAAAGAGAAAGTGACACTTGTCAGTGTTGTTTCACAGGCACTATAATGTTTCACAGCTGGAGGAATTAAACTCTAATCTCTACGGCTCTAACACCCAGGTATGCCAATCCTCCATAGATATAGAATCATATTTATATATATATATTTATATATCTAGAAAAAACAATCATTTTATATGAATTTATATCATTTCCAAAAGAGAAGTCACAGTTTGTAAATGCTACATTTGCAAAAAGGGAGGAATTATTTTTCTTGTGTGTGTGTGTGAGCACAAGGGTTCGATATCTTTCTCGCACACACTCGCACGCTCTCTCGCACGCTTGCTGTCTGTGCACTGGGGAGGGGCGCTGTACAGCACCCGCGCACAGTGTGAGTCAGAGTCTCTCTGCTACGGTAAAACACGGCTACATTCAGCTACTGTTAAAATACTAACACAGTGACAGAGGAGATATAGCAAGAAGGAGGTAATCGATCAAAGAGGAGAGAGAAGAGAGAGCAAGAAACAGAAGAAAAAATTCTAATCTGCTACAGGTTGGTTTGATAGATTCAGATTTTCTCTTTCCCAGACGAAATGGCATCATCACAACACTATAGACACCTACACCTGACGACGTCACAGCTCACTGATCCGATTGGAGGAGGGAGGGAAAGGGGGGAGGGGCCAGGACGATGCCAGCGCTGCCACTCGTGTCTCTGATCGGGGGAGAGAGGAGAGGAGAAGGAAAAACAGCCAGTGCCCCAGCCCATGGGGTCAGTCCCAGCTCGGAGGGGCCCGGGTCAACAGCATCATCATTCACTGTTCCGATTGGAGGGGAGCAGAGAGTGGGAGGGGCCAGAGTAGAGACTGCATCATTGTCCGCTGTTCCGATTGGAGGGGAGGAGGGAGTGGGAGGAGCCAGGGTC